ATACACCTTGTAGATCAATCTTTGTAAAGATCTTTCTTTAGCTAAGTTGATCAAGAAGTCTAAATATCAACGGTAATAGATATTATTTCTTTATCGTGATTTTATTAAGACTGCTATAATCAACACACATTTGTAAGGATCCATCTTTCTTCTTTACAAATAATATCAGAACACCAACTTGTGATTTGAAATGTTGAATAAAATTCTTAACTAGGTTTTCCTCAATGTACTCTTTTAAAGTCGCAAGCTCATTCTGGGATAAATTGTAGATAGGCCCAAATGATAGTTGAGCATCTTCTTGAAGGTCAATCGTACAATCAGAAGGGCAATGCTTCGGCAAGATATTTGTATTTTTCTTTTCAAATACATTTGTAAAATCCTTATACACCTTTGGAATTGTTGTTGTAGCAACCACAAGTTTTGATTGTGGATTTGCGTAGACAACAAGCGTAGTACCTTGTTTGGCTATCTTTACAAATGCTCTAACTCTAATAAATGAATGTTGTTTAAGTTTTGGCTTGTTAGGTATTAGAAGATTTTTTATAGATCTGAGGATTCTATTATCTACTAGAAGAAATTCTAACTTTTATGATATCCAATCTATCTGTGGATTGTATTTTTAAGCTATGAGAGTCTTAAAATGATTGGACTTGATGGTGATATAATGACGTTGAATACTACTTGGTTGCTATGATTGTCAAAGGTTATTTCTAATGGAATTATTTCATGAGTGATGTTTCTAGAGTATAAGGTCGACCATCTATTACTTCTATATGTACAGCTTTGGATTTTTTGACCATACAGATTTTGTGTAATCTAAAAAATTCTTTGTCAATAAAACATGTAGAGGCTTCCAAGTCAAGTAATGCATGACAACCTAGTTTTGTGACTCCTAACCATACATGTATAGTAAAACAATGAAAAGAACTGGCATAGAGTATAGGACTTTTTTTGGTTTGTGATAATGAAGAATTTAGTTGTACAATTTCTATTGTGGTTGGACGCCCTCATTTTCTTGCAACTCTTTTGATGATGTGGTCGCACTCCTCATTCAATATGTACATTAGTGTTTCTCTGAACAATTATTAACCTTATGGCCAGGTTTTTTGTAATATAAGTATAGGCCAAGTTTCCTTTGGTGCTTTTTTTTTTTTTTTTTTGCTCAGAATGAGGTTTGAGGTGAATTTCATCAATTTGCATATCTTCTGCTTCCAACTACTCATAAGAATTGGGTGGTGAAAAAATTGCATAATAATTGGTATATACATGTGGCATAATTGAAGAACATTTATCTTGTCATCGTTGAAATAAATAGTTATCACACTTTATAACTTGATTAATGGCTTCATTGAGTGTTAGAGGATCTACCATAGACAACAATAAGTCCTTGACATTGTCTCTTAATTTTCAATGAAATTGACTCATTAATGCGTCTTCTCTCTAATTTATATCACATGCTAATTATCAAAAATTTGAGGCATATATTGATGCAAAGCGTATTCTTTTTTGAAGGCTTTGAATTTTAGTTGTTGAAGAATGAGCCTTATCATATTCACAAAATACTTCTGTAAATGCTACCAAAAATGCTTCAAAATTGTACAATATAGGAGAATTCTTTTCAAAGAATGGATCGAATTAGAATAAAGTTTGATCAAAGAGAAAAGTTCCAACTAAACCAACATGAGATACTTCAGTGGAATATCGTTGAGATTGAAGCAAGGTAACTAGTCGTGCTTGATTTACAAAGCCACAAAATTTTGAGTGGGTGCCATCGAACTTTTCCGAAAGACTTATCCTTAGTTCTTTTGTTGTTAAATCATTGCCTTAAGTGGATGCACCTTCTATGTTTGAAGTAGACATATTCGTTTGAAAATTTAGAATCTTTGTTACAATTTAATGTGGTGGTTGAGGCACTTCAGCTCATTTACCATTATGTATGGTTATATATAATTCTTCATTCTGCTTTTACAAAATCTTTGTCTTAATCCTCAATGCTTCAAGAGCATTAATAATAGAATCTAACCTGATTTCTTTTGAGTCTATTATATTGATTTTTCCACCTTCTACCATAGAAAATTAGAGAAACACATGCCTTCAAAAAAAAAGATCTATGATAGAAAAAAAGAAATCAAAAGAATATTAAGAAAGGAACAATAGTAATCTAAGGGAGGGTAATCCGCAACCTCTAGAATACTATAGTACTTCCAAGAAGAGGGATAATCCACTCTCTGTCAAGAACCATGCTCTTAATATTGTTTTATGGCAGTCTTCACAAACTGTTAGGGACCATATAGAAGACAAGGATTGAAGACCAAGAAATGGAGTTAACTTGACATTAAAACAACAATTGGATACAAGACAAGAAGGTCCTGACTAGACCATAAGAAATGAGTTGTCAAGTTTGAGGATCCCCTTAGCCTCGACTCTTATATATATTAGGTCCTAGGAAGCTTCTTAAAAAGTTTCTATGAGGCTTGAGAACAAAGCAAGCCAAAGATCCTTCTTCAGCAACTTCTTAAATCATCTTAAGCCTCCTAGAACCTTCTAGGACCTCCTATGACCTTCTAGAACTTTCGTAGAATCTATTGGAACCTTCCGAAACCTTTTCTAACCTCCTAGAATCCTCAAGAGTCTTCTTAAAACCTATTAGTACTTTTTGGAACTTTTTGGAACCTTGTAGAATCTTCTTTAATTATATGTCTGTAACACTCTACCTAAAAGATGTATTTTATTTTATTATAATTTATATTAATTATAAAAATCTTAAATATTACATATTAGTACATATATTAGATTTTTGCCAATTCTATTTGAGTATGTGTTTGTCATATTTTGTATTTAATATTATGTATTAATTTGAAGAATAATTAAGCTTATTCAAAGCTTTGTATATATATTCTTATCTTGCATCAAAGTCCAATCTTTCATTCATCTTCTTTTTTAAAATAAATAAAATTAAATATTCTTTATAAATCTTTTTTAATATAAGTTTTAGCTTCATTTAGTTGATCAAGGATTTTCAATATTAAAGACAAAAGATAAAGAAAATATAAAATATAATTTGTAACAAAAAATTCTTTTAAATTTGAAATAATTACACTTTTTTGCCATTAAATCAATAATTTTAGATGATGCTACTTTTTTCAATGAAAATTGTTTAAGTACATTGAGAAAGCCACTTAATCTTGATGTTATAAAAAATCTTCATTATGACTCAAATAAATTTGATTTTTTTTTAAAAAAATATTTTATTATAAAAGATGTTTATATCTTCTCAAAAGAAAAACACTATTATATGCATTATAAGTACAATTTGGCTTTTCAATAGCTAATTACTTTAGATATAACAAAATATTGGAACTAATTTTAAAAGATATTTTATAGCCTCAACTATGAAAAAGAGCGATATCATTAAGTTAATTATATGATGTTAATTCAAAGAGAGAGAATTTATGTTCTTAGCTTTATGATTTTCTTAAAACTCTATCTATTTCAAAGCAATCCTAGTAATTTGTTTTAATGGATTTAATTATGAATCTTTCTATTTTAAATTCTTATAATTTTATCTTTGTGATGGTGGATTTTTTATTTTAAAAATATATTTTGTAATCAACTTCTACCATTAAATCACACTTACAATAGTCAATTACTTACAAAATGCATGCATACTTAGAAATCTCCTTCTCTCTCTCTCTCTCATGCATATATGCAAACACATACACACTAAAGGCCATGAACATATAAAACGCCCATCATCCATGGCAAAAATTGACTATGTAGGTTTCTTCCATATTTTATTCTTGAATATATAATTCATTGTTTCAAATCATCTCCTCCAAATTGTTATGCCCAAAGTAAGATCACTACTCTATTTGCATTTATTACAATGCTTTCAAAGGACCATTTTGATACTATTATTGGCCCTAGAACACTCAATATAACACCTTCTCAAACAACATCAACCAGTTTACTCTTACTCTCAAATGGTTCAGATCCATGGCCATGAAGAAATCCATCAATGAAGTTGTCACATGGCCTTCCTCCTCTTTTTGCCAACCTTGTCTCATCCGACTAACCTCAATCATGGCCTTGATTATTTTCATCAAGTGTATTACCATGGACTCCCTAATTACATATGCACTCTCTACGTCACAGCTCTCAAGTCCACTTTCTAAACAAGCTACAAGTTGTGGCAATAATAATGTTTGCTCCATTGTGCATCAATCAATCTATGAATCCTATATAGTGACTTTGCCAAAATGAGGATGGGGGCCAGAAGGATTCGAGATGGAGATGGAAGGTGAAAGGGTGCAATGATGGTTTAGACATGTGAGTCAATTTAACAAAAGTTTTGGTCATTTTAACATTTCCCTATTTCAAAACTAACTTAGGAACAAGAGTGTAAAATTCAATTTTAACATTTCCCTATTTCAAAACTAACTTAGGAACAAGAGTGTAAAATTCAATTTTAAAATTTCCCTATTTCAAAACTAACTTAGGAACAAGAGTGTAAAATTCAATTTTAACATTTCCCTATTTCAAAACTAACTTAGGAACAAGAGTGTAAAATTCAATTTTAACATTTCCCTATTTCAAAACTAACTTAGGAACAAGAGTGTAAAATTCAATTTTAACATTTCCCTATTTCAAAACTAACTTAGGAACAAGAGTGTAAAATTCAATTTTAACATTTCCCTATTTCAAAACTAACTTAGGAACAAGAGTGTAAAATTCAATTTTAACATTTCCCTATTTCAAAACTAACTTTAGAACAAGAGTGTAAAATTCAATGGAATGGTATATGACTGGAAGTGAAGAACGTTCATTACCGGTTGATATCCTGGTCGCTACGCACTCCGTAACAGGGTTCCAAAAAGAGGTTCCCGTGTTCCCTTCTCATTCGAACCTCTTCCGAGCGTCGACAGGCTGAACAGTCAACGTCTGTCTGTCCGTCCGTCGTCGACAGAGCGTCCGTCAATAGATTTAGCGATTGTTCAACCGCGTTCTTGTGTTGTGTGTGTGGGCATCGGGGAGGCTCCGCTCCGACATGAGAGTTGCAAAAGCATCGTCCCTCCTCCTCCTCCGCTGCCGTCTCGTCTCTCTGTTATCGCATTGTACGTCTTCTTTGCCTGCTTAATATCGGAATTTTTCCCTGCCTTCTGGTGAAGGAGTGCGGGGTTGATTCCCGGGCTAGTCCGAGTCGTTTTCGCAGATGGTGGATTGCTTACCAACGTGGAGGAGTTTGGATGTAATGAAGGCTCTCGTTTTGATCATTTGCGGATTTGTGATCTTTCAAGGTCAATTCGGTGTAGTGCTGTTAGGCCGAGCTCGAGAGAAGTCCTTGTAATGGAAGCGTAGGGTTTAGGGTTTGTCCCTTCGTGAAGTTGTAAGATTGTGACTAAACGACACGATGCGTCGTTAACGGGATTTTGTGAGAAAATTTGGGATTATCACCTTGTTAACGATGTCAATTTCTCTGTGGTGTTGAATTGGAGAGTTGTAGAAGTGGAAGAATCCTTGTTGGAGCGATTTTAAATAAATAAATAAATTCAGTTGAATAAAAAATAAAAGTTGAACTTGTTATGGTCCAACATCTTGTCTTTATCTTGTGGATGCGTAGCAAAGTACTGTAGCAGGAAATCATCTGCTGGCATCCAGGATGAGCTGTCTGAAATGACTGTATGATCATTGGTATGTCCTAAGATAGGTCCAGCTGCTTCACTCGAATCCAGACAGTCTTCGAATTCAAGTAGTTTGTGGCAATCAAGCATCCTGGAATAGCGTTTCAGGCAATCTTTGATTCATAATTACACGATTGAAAATATTAGTTTGAGCATGGTGGCATTGCAGTGGTAGATCATTTTAGTGGAACAAAGAAGACGACCGACATGAGGAGGATTCTAGTGGAGTTTTCCAGGAGAGTGTGCCTGAATGCTGCGATTGCTAGACCGATCGCTGCAATTGATGGAGCTATTAATGGTGGTGCGAGGAGTTGCAGTGGGGTTTTGAGGGAATCCAATGTGGTGGTTACGGTTATTTCGAGATCCACATGCAGTGGTGGGCTGAAGAATGGATTTTCTGCTTGGAGTATCGGTTGTCGACAAAGCGGCATTGGAGGTTCTCAGCTGAGATTGTTTAGCTCTGGACTAAGCGATGCTGAATCCGGGTAATGTGCCTTTCATGCCCTTTAGAGTAGCGAACAATCTATCACATGTGGATGCTTGAGCATTTTAGCTATTCTGGCTCATACGTTGGTGCTCTCTTTGAATATAAAATACGATCTTTCAATTTGATCCTCGGTTTATTTTCTTTTCTATTTGATACAAACTGCAAGTTTGTAGAATTCAACCTGGGATAATCAATGATTAGAATAATTCCATGCTCTCGAGCACTTTCTTTCAAATCATAATTTTTCCACATGGAAATCGTTTCATGACTCATGTACATAATCTTTGAGCCCAGGTGGATCCCTTGTCAAGTCGGTCTTAGGCTGATTTTGTTGCTGAATTTTGTAGTATGGATTTGTACTGGAGTGTTTTGCGCTCGCAGATTGCTTTGATCCTTGCATTAGAAACGTCAATAGTACATCGCTCTTTAGCTCACTTGGTCTTCTTGCTGTTGTGCAGTGCCTTGGTATCGGAGGAGAAATTTCACTCGCTAGCTAATGACACCCTAGACACGTTACAAGAAAAAATTGAAGTAAGTTTCACCTATCACGTAGGTCTGTCTTTATTTTATTTTTTTAATTCCACAAAAGCATAACTAGTCCACCATCATAGGATTTGGGATATTCCAAGCTGAATTTTCCTGGTGACTTGAGTGTAATTACGTGATGTGACGATATAAATTGCAGGCATATGGAGAAGATTTGGACGTGGATGGGTTCGACTTGGACTATTCGGTACATGCTTGTAAATTTAAGATTGCCAATCCACTGTAAATTGGAAGATGTTATCGTTCAAAAAGTAGTAGTCTTTGCAACTCCGTCAATCAAGTCCTTTGACGAAAGAAATGGAACAGATCAACTGTTTTTTATGTGAGTGGATCTGGTGTTCTTTTGGTGATTGTTCAGGAGATTTGATGCTAATAGATCGCTTCCTTTTCATGTTCAAAACAATAAGATTCAAAGAATGTTGTCATGCAGGATGGTGTCATGACTGTAAGACTTGGAGATAAAGGCACTTATGTGCTCAACAAGCAGACTCCAAATCGTCAACTTTGGCTATCATCACCTGTGAGGTTTGTGGTCTTCAACTTGTGTGCTGATGCTCACTATCAAGGTCTTTATTGCCACATTCTGAGAAGTGAATTTCTGAAGAACTGGGACTTGGAACACTGTGGGGTATCATAGTGTGGAACTCCTGATATGTTCCTGATGTCATCTTTCCTGATGGATGCAGTGGGCCAGCTAGGTTCGATTGGAATATGAGTGAGAATTTATGGATCTATCGTCGAACCAAGGCAGAGTTGATAAGTTTGCTGGAGGAAGAGCTTAGCGAGTTATTGGGAAGTCCTGTTGCTCTCAAGAATTGAGCTAGGACAACACGTATTTGTCTGCATGATTTTGCGACTGCTCTCTGCAGCTCTCTTGTAGTAAGATGACACTGAAGTATAATAACTCGGAGATTTTGTTGCGCTTTTTAAGCCTGAAACTTGGCTTGCTGGTTTGATCGGTGGGTCCATTTGTGTGGAGGATACACGCCTTGTTAGATTGCTGTGATGTGAAAGGCATCAAAATATTCTTTTGCAATAAGCTGGATAATAACAGTAAAATTTTTGCTATGCAGTAAATTGTGTGCTTTTAATAAGCACCTCTGGGTCATTTTTCAATAATACTGTTTTCACTGCTATAACGTCAACTGAACTTTCTCATCGTGATTTTGTTGATAGTATGACTGATGTATGAATTGTCGACTTATTCATTCCAACTAGTGGTAATGCACTCAACATCTTTTGCAGTATAACGCGTTTGTCTGTCCATTTTATTTTTTTATTTTTATGTATTTCGTATAAAATCTGCACATTATGTGCGTCGGAAAGTTTTGATGAATTAAACGTAGAGCTCTTTCAAGGTAGAATCTTATCATATGTCTTTATCAGTAAACTCATTGGGTAGGTCGTGAAACCATACCACGTCTGGTACATGTTCTATATTATTTTCTGGCTCATCCAGACTAGACTGTAGGCGGTCCATCAGTGTCTGACAAACATGAGTGGGCCCTGTCTGTATGCTTAGAGGAAGTGCTTGATCGTTTATCTTCATAAGGCTTCTAGGGATTCCACGAAGACGTGTAGAATCATTGCAAAACTTCCTGAGCAGGGCATGCTCTCTTCTGCGGTGGAGAAATTTTAACTACTCACACAATATATTTCGTTCTCGCATGTTCACGTTGGAATGCAGGGTATCCCCATATTCACACATGATTTAGTAGAAGTCCAAAGTGTAACATGTAGTAGCAAAATGTATAATATGTAGTCTGTGGAAGGTATCTGAAAGTTCTGCTTTTTGGTGCATGCTGAAAACGGGATGCAGAGTGTTGTCGATGGTTTATTGTTGATTTCCAATGGGTTGTCCTGAACGTTAATTTGTCTGGAATTGTGAGGTTGCTTGTGCTGTTTCAATCAGGCGCCAAGGTCAAGCCAATGATTGATGTGTCTAATATCTATTTCTGTTGGTTCGACACGTCTAGGCTTTGGGGGTTGGTTTCATCGTACATACGTTAAGACTGGATGTTGTGATTGAAGTCTACAATGCTAAGTTGTTTTTAACAATGTACTTCCATATCCTAAAACCTTCATCGATCATTTGAGACCTGGTGATAGATACTAGGCGTTGGATCTCGAATGCGGAGGATTCCCCAACCTTGGACAATGACACTAATTGTACATGGTGACAGCGTCATCAACACTTATCATGTTTGCTTGCAGCTTATGTCCAAATTGTGCAACTCAACCTACAGTAAAAAAACACCTATGCTGTGGACTCATCTTTATGTGACTTCCTGTTCATGACATCACCTCTAAGTTGTGACCACTCAAAGATCTCTCCTCTTTTTATAAATGCTGTATTCCTTATCACGCAATGGTGGCGGGTCTCATAGACTCGCCAATATGTCATTTTCTCCGAAAGCAGTTCCCATCTCTGATTGGTGTCAATTCAGCATGAACTCCTGATTTGGATGTGTAGAGGAATGTTACCTCAGCACTGCAGGAATATGTGGGCTGGAAAGTGTGAGAAAGGTAACATTTGTCTACGCTCTTCGGGAAATACATGCTAGGAGCTCAAGCCGGCTTGACCCCTGCTGATACAACCTGCCGGGTGAGAGTAACTTGGCACATGATTATGGACTCCGCAGAGAGCATATACTCCAGCTTGCGTTCGCTTGGTCCACAGTATGTACCACAAATATCTCCAAATCGACAACAACAACAACAACAACAACAACAGGAGAAAAACTATCCGCTGTGGAGGAAATGAGAGATAGCCAGTTTCAACTCTCTACTCAGTACTTGTCAGTGCTATTGAATGTACCCTTCACAATGATCATGTGCTTTTTGTTTCTTTGTGCAAGCAAACGCCAACACAACTGATGCACTCCCATGTGGTGAACTCCATCTGCGCGGTGGATATCTAACAGCCCCCTGGTACAGCTTCAATCCTGGCGTGTAAAAACGTCTGCCGGAGTAGTTGGAGAATAGATCTTTTTACCTGGATCGCAAAAGCCTGGACAAAAAGGCTCCCAGTCAATGTTTGTCCGCCTATTTATACCTACACGGGTCCGAGCTTCGGAAATATGCTTCTGGGTTTCTCTGCCTCTATGGGAAAAAGAATAGGTAGGATGGGGGAAGGCTGCGGCTTCCGTTGGTTAACAATGCAAGCAATTGGTGCCGAGCACATGCACTGAGCCCAGTTGTCTTTTTCAACGCTTTCGGCAGATCCACTCTCATGGGGCGATATCGCCACTCCCGAATTAGCACAAACTAGTCGAAGATATGATACTTTTTCTTATTCTTTATGCTGGTTTTTTCTCTGTTTGAGGTGGCGCACTTGGTGCCACCAAAGCCAGACAATGTAGGCGTGCTGACTTCTCGGACCCGCTCATCTTGAAGGAGCTAAATTAAGACGGACTGTATCCCCCCTAATTATCGTTTCGCTTTCCAAAATTTCAGCATTCGTAGACAAAACAACATGCGGAGCATCATTGCGACTGTGTTGAACTGTGGTATCCGCTAGAACTTCACAGCCTCCGACGGGACTTCCGATTCTCAGCTTTCTCGTTGCGGATCCAGCGAGAGGGCCAACTCAACGTCGCATCTGTCGAGGTTAGTGCCTGTGAATCGTTCAATCCTATGCTTGGAATGAACGCTCACTGAGCATACCATTATGTTCACTGGAATGCTTCACATGAATACCTTCCCCAACCAATAACTCAATACTGTTATGCTTGTGTTTTGGATGTTTCTCATTTGTTTAGTAAGTTGATACAGTTGCTTTGTGAAGTTGAAACCCATGGACTTGCTAGGTCTGCAACATGTGAATGCATTATAGTGATATTGTAAGGAACCAATATGACATGCAACAAAGTTCTTATAAAATTATATATATATATATATATATATATATATATATTTATATAGTTATTCTTATAGTTATACAGTTACAAATACACATTTATATCTTTATGTTCAACCTTGTTAGAAATATGAGTTGAGCAATTTTCAGTCAATTCACATTGTTGGTTATGAATTTCTGTTGTTGATGCCAAACTCTAGGTGAATTTAATTTCTCTGCACAATGGATAGACATTCTTTTTGTCATGAAGATAATCACAATCAAATGGACTGATTCAATGATGGAGTAAAGAGCCACAATGTGGAAAACTTGCAATAGGATTCTCTTCAGTAAGAAGGTGCCATGATGTATGGGTATCTGCGCCTCACAGTTGAAGTCAACCCCACAAAACATTGCCACCTGCACAGAATTAATTAAACACTTGGGGTCGCAACAACTTGGAGGGATGGAGCTCACATGTGGTCAAGCCATGGCTTATTTGTCAAGGCATTAAGATCCCAATGGGTGTGGGCCATGTGGAGAAATAATGATAATAATAATAATTAAAAAAGAAACAGAGAAGCAGGACCAAGTCTAAGTGGGATAAAGGAAATTTGGAACTGGTCAATGGAAAGAGATGAATAAAATATAATAACATTGTCCATTGAGTCTATGCAATGAATTGTGAGGCCAATGAACTAAATGGGGATGAATGTGGGGCTTTTTGGGAGACACAGCTTTTAATAGGCGCAATGGATCCCTTTTGAATCTCATCCTTGTTAGCCCTCAAAATGATGCCACAATCCCCTCAAACAAGGACTATCACAACTAGGACACATTATCACTAACTCCAAGTTTTTAACATATGTATGGCATTTGTACCCAACTTCCCCATACGTTCCTTCAAAATGGTATACCTCCCTTTCAGCTAAATGTTTTGTGTGTTTTGTTTGTTCTCCATTCTCCATTATTCATTTTCGTTTCCGACTGTTGATTTTAAGTATTACTTGTTTATTCAAAAAGGAAAGAAAAAGGTGACAAGTGAAGGTACAAGTGTGTGTGCTTGCAGGATAATCAATAATGTGCATGTTAGATTACATATGTATATGTGTATTTACATACATATATACATGCAAATAACTGTTATTTGAATATTGTTTCACTTCTTTCAACTTAATGTGTGTGCATATTTCAAAATTTATATTCATGTATGATCTATTCTGCAAGGAAAAAAAAAGCCTAGACTGTCTGAGTTCTTTTGTCCTAATTTGTTATGAAAGTTTGTTATTATTATTGTAATACATACAACCACACGTCCGTACGTACGCTAGCCCAATGAATGCTTACCTCTCACACAAACATATTTCCAGAAGTGGCCAAAGGACAACGTGAAATACCCGCATCACCATATCCAGTACTTGAGACGAGAGAGTTGGGTTTCACGCGAAAGGCTACCCTCTTCATAGCAGCAAAACACAGACGAACTTTTACCCACCGGAAAGGTTGTTGGGCTACAACAAACCGTGGACGTGCAAAGCAACGATATTCAGTGTGAGGTGATAATAAATCAAAACTGAGCTGGTCTAGAATACGAGGCACTGGCATGGAAACAAAAATCTGGGGAGAGCCGGGAATGTGAAGAGTCGCTGTGGAGAGGCGACGCGCAGACCGATGCGGCAGAGAAGCCCACAGCCTGGCTGCCTTTTCCCATGGAAGGAAAGGAAGGGAAGGGAAGGGAGCCTGCCTGCAACGCAACCGGATTCGGCTCCACTTCCACGCAGTTATGAGCACACCCCAGCTTCCAGCCCAAGCATCACAGCTGGAGAATCGCAGGCGGCGTATTGGGCCTTCTTCTTCTTCTTCTTCTTCTTCTTCCACCACCACCACCGGCACGCACAACTAGAAACCCACCCTCCTTCACTCCTTCCGTTTTGTTGAGGATCCCTGAGCCACTCCTGATCGACTGTTCCTGTGGCAGGTATCCGTTTGGGGAATGTAGCTTCCGAAACTGCAGAGCCACGAGGAGATGGGTGTCGCACTGGACTCGCAGGACCTTGACCTTCGAGATCTTCCCGGCGGCGCGAGATCCGGCGGTTATCGCCCCGGAGCTCCGCTTCCCCCTGATCGAGCTCTTGTTGCTCATGGGAAGTTGAGTTTTGACCACGCAGATTTCACGGAATCGATATTGTTGTTGATGTTGTTGTTGCTGCAGCGTTGGGTCAAGGTCCACACACGGCCATGAAGACAGATTCATATGTGATCCCGCAGTTATATTCCCCGACT